TGGCTAGTAAAGTATTAAAATTATGAGTATTTGAAAACTAGCAATGAAGACTGATTAATGGAAACCAGCTAACTTAGAGCTGTGTTTCAAACACAGGTGGATTGGAGAATAGAACTGAATGCAAAGGCAACGGTGACAGATGACTTCATTTGAATTCAGCTTTCATTTGATGTGAAAGGGCAATAGTAATGGCGAGTGCAGAAGTACTAAGTGACTAAACCTCTTGGAGCCTCTAAGTGCAGCTCTCTGAGCTGGGGAGAGGCTGAAATAGCACTGTGCATCTGAGGTGTCAGGTACACACGGGGCTCGGTCACGTTTCATTCTTCTCTTACTGTCTGCCACCCAAGAAGGGCAATGCTGAGACTCTGAGCACCACACCCAGGCCCTAATACAGCGTCAGACACATAACAAGCATCTGTGGGGATAATGACGAATAAACATTGATGGCTTTGCCTTCTGAGAGTCCCCCTAAGAGGCTGGTAGACTACTAGTTGGTGAGGGGAAGATTAAAGTTTCAGGGGAAGAAAAATGCAGAAAGAGTGCCGTCTTCTAAGACTGGCCTGAATCTAAATGCCTCAATTCAACTAGTGACTGACTATGGGAGATATTTTACTTCACGCCCTTTTTCATATTTGTCAAAGCTCTGGAGTTAAACGTACATGGAAACAAGATCTGGCTCTTCCTCAGCTTTTGTTGATGTTCAGTCCCTAAGTCAAGTCTGACTCTCTGCGATCCCATGGACTGCAGCATAGCAGGTTCCCCTGTCCTTCACTACCTCCCAGTTTGCTCAGATTCACGTCCATGGAGTCAGGGATGCTAATCATCTCATCCTCTGCTCTTCAGTAAGGATTAAGAAAAGAATCAAAGTCACCAGTGTATTCACTGATGAAGTAAAAAAATCAAATGAAAATGTCTTTCAATCACCTTCCCAACTGCAAGAGTAAGCTGGCGTATGATACAGGTTAAATGGAGTAACAAAAGAAGAAAAGTGTGAAGAAAGCAAGAGGAAAAAAAATAGACAAAAACAGCACCACAAAGCCATAGATGTTGTCCAGGATTTATAGACTACTAGAACAGAATTAACAGCATTTAGGAAACATCTCTAATAATTTCATTTTAACTATGGCAAGAGGTGCACTGTGCCTCCACACATCCAGTTCATGATTTTAATATGAACAAGCATCACATCCTGAGAAAGGAACCCAAGGAGAACTATATCCGTCTATATTGCTAGAAGTCTAGGGATCTAGAATGAAATGAGATTGGTGAATGAGAGCCAAAAATTCATTCTAATTCTAAAAGGAAATCAAGGTCCCAATAGAAAATGTCCTGGACTATATGACACTCCACAACTGTACTCAAATAAGGGCAACATCAAAAATCTATCATGCACAGACATAGAGAACAAATATATGGTTACCAAAGAGGAAAGGTGTGTGTGGGGGAGGGGTAAATTAGCAATTTGGGAGTCACACACACACACTATTTTATATATAAAATAGATAAACCACAAGGACCTACTATATATCACAGAGAATTACACTCAACATTTTGTAATTATATAGGAAAAGGGAGCTTTCCAGCAGGCGCCAGTGGTAAAGAAACTACCTGCCAATGCAGGAGACATAAGAGATGCAAGTTCAATCCCTGGGTTGGGAAGGTCCCCTGGAGGAGGGCATGGCAAACAACTCCAGCACTCTTGCCTGGAATATCCCACAGATAGAGGAGCCTGGCAGGCTACAGTCCAAAGGGTTGCAAAGAGTCGGTCACAACTGAAGCAACTTAACACGTATATGGGAAAAGAATTTGAAAATGAATATATATATATATATATATTTTATACACACACACACACACACACACAGAGACAGACCTGAAACTAAGACAATATTGTAAATCAGCCATAGTTAAATAAAAAAACTAAATACCCTCCACGAAAGTAAAATTAAAAAAAAAAAAACTTTTCGTGAAAGTATCAGTTAAAATGATTATCATTTATCAGGCTCTACTCTAAGCATGGTCCCATAGAGACTCAGGAATCTTCAAGGTTGGATTCTTTAAAAACAAAGTTAAAACTTTTATATTATAAAGGAAGAACCTGAGACACAGAGAGAGCAACTTTTCCAAGAGCACAGAGTTTAGCATGCATCAGAAACAGAAGCTAAAGTCAGGTGTGAGGCTCTAAGACAGTACTGACTATTGAAAGGCTCATATTGGTTACATTTTCTTCTCTTATAGGGTACCTATTAAGATGCTTTGAAAAAAGAAAAAAATTTTTCTTTAAGTGCCGGAGTTTCAAGATAATTTTCACATTAAAACTTTGAAGAAGAAGTTCCTAGTTGTTTCCCAGGACCCCTTCCTGGCTCAATTACCTGTATCCAGGCTTTCTCTTCTATTAGACTTTAAAGATAATGAATGCATAGCATGGTGCCAAGGAAATGAGTTCTCAGTAACTGTTGACAATCAATGAACATAATAGATGTTCAGTAAGTGCTCACTGAACTGAGTTCAGTGGAACAAAAAAGAAAGTCTGATCATTTGCATAAGAAAAGAGTAGAATAGGTCGAACAGGCAAACGAAGCACCATTCCATGCCCCGGAAGGAGAAAAAAATAGTTAAAGGTTCTGAAACAAGATACCCAGGCTCCAATATCAAGTCTACATGATCCATCCCATCTTTACGCAGCCCAGTCTATCCCACACTCCTCTCAATTTACCTCCACAGAAGTTCCCTCCTCCCTCCTCTTAGCTACATCCTTCCTTCCCTTCCGGTAGTGGTAGGGTGGCTGTTGCAAAGGAAGGGAACCAGGTCATATGTAATTGCGGTCCTCTCCATCTGAACCCTTCTCCCGCACCTCCCCAGCTCTGGCTCAGGAAATGAAGACCCAGGCTGGAGCGGGCACTCAAATCCTCTTCCTCTCCCTTCACTTCAGCAGTCCTGCCCAAGATGCAGACTCTCAGGAAGGCGTGAAATTAGCTCAGCTTGTCAATCAGGGAGTCCAGTTAAACTGTGGCTAAATTCTATCAAATGGAAATGAGCAAAAAAACTTTTGAAAATTGAACTAAATGAGGGACTTTTTCCTCAGGGCAGGAAAGGTGCCTCTAATTGACTTCTCACTGGAGTGAAGGTTCACCCATAGCCCCAGGCCTTACTCCCCTGGAGAAGAAAATGAGAAGGCGGGCCCTAGGCCACCCAAGCTCAAAACACACTCAAGTACATGCTAGAGTCAACTTGCCAGCAGCCTGCTAATAAGGTACATCACATACCCAACTCTCAGAGCTTCTTCATTTCCAAGAGGTAGTTTAACTATCATTTACTCTGACAGTTCCCATGATGGCCTTGGGGTGGCCATGTAGCAACCTCATCCAAAAAAAAAAGTCTGCCTCTTACAGAGGAAAGAGAAGGGTGCCAAGAGGGACAAATCCCACAGATACCAGGGCCACATGCCCTAGAGCAATACTGGTTTGGCTTCCATCCCCCATCATCTTATGCCACAGAGGAGAGACACCTGAATCCCACAAGGAAAAGTATAGCAAAAACATTTCATTTAGCCTCAAAATGGAGGCATTCTCCTCTCTGCATGGCATCACCAGGGAGATGTTATTAAACAACAACAGTACCAAAACTAGGGGTGCAAATAAAAGGAGATGGAAGCCAAGAGCCTGCCAAGCGCACAACCTTAAAAATTTAGCCAGCATCCATTTCACAAGCTCTGAGGGCTACTTGTGAGGGCTGATAGAGCCAACGGAGTTTCCATTCCCTGCTCAGTTCTCTTCTGTAGCTGGCTCTGAATAAAGTCTTAACCCCACCCCACTCCATCAACCTTTCTAAAGGTGAAATAAATCACTGAAGCATGTAATAGATTCCATGTGGTCTGTAAAAATGCCCTGTAACTCTTAAAAAACAAGCTGCTATTTAAATTCAAGGGTACAAATGAAAATGAAGTTCAGATAAAAAGGTGGAAAAAAAGGGAGAAAGTTAATAATTCAGTCTTTAAGTACAAAAAATAGCTAACTCAGCCAAGAAGCATATGAAAAGATGCTGAACATCACTAATCAGTAAGGAAATAACAGTGATACAATGAATGAGATACTCCCTCATACCCATTCACATGGCCATTAGAAAAGAAAAAACAGAAAATAACAAGTGTTGGTGAGAATGTTGAGAAGTTAGAACCTTGTGCACTGCTGGTGGGAATGTAAAATGACACAGCTGCTATGGAAAATAGTCTGGTGGTTCCTCAAAACATTAAAAATAGAATTACCATATGATCCAGAAACTCTGTTTCTGGATATATACCCAAAAGAATTGAAATCAGGGTCTCAAAGAGTTATATGTACACTCATGCTCACAGCAGTACCATTCACAACTGATCAAAGATGGAGGCAACCCAAGTGTCCCCTGACAGATGAATGGGTAACAATATGCAGTCTGTATACATAATGCAATATTATTCAGTCTCAAAAAGGAAGAGCATTCTGACCCCTGCTAAAACATGGATGAACCTTGAGTACACTATGCTAAATGCAATCAGCGGATCACAAAAGACAAATACTGTATATTTCACTTACAGGAGTACTTGGAGTAATGAGAAGAAGGTGGGAGGCTGTGGAGTCACGGTTTGATAGGAACAGTTTCAGGTTGGCAAGATGAAGCGTTCTGGAGATGCATGGATGGTGGCGATGGTTACACAGCAATATGAATGTACTTAATGCCACTGAACTGTACGCTTTATGATTAAGCTGGTACATTTTGTTATGTGTATTTTACTACATTTTTTTTAATTGGTAAAAAAAAATTAGGGAACTCAGACTATTTTTTCCTCAAGGGGAAAAAAAAAATCATGCTACTTGGGGACAGAGGAGAGCAATGAAGAAGGAAATCATAAACCGTTCATGTAAAAACAATATACATTTTTCAGCTTTCCAAATTCCAGGCTCAGCTATGGAACAGACCAACCACGACTCCACCCCTCCCAAAAGACACAAGAAGCCGCTCACCTCACTGAGGTAAATAAAAAAAGAGCAGGTGGACCCATCCACTCCGTATTCTGCGTAGCAGGGATCTGAGCGCCACATATTTTTCATCCACTGAAACAACCAGAGGAGGAAGAGCAATGATGAGCAGCCATTCACCGTGGCGGGCACGTCTGCCTAGAGGCTGTGAGATTCAGCCAGCAGTAAAGCCCAGGAGCGTCAGCGGGGAGCAGTGTTTTCTCAAGAGCAAATGCCTCACAGACCCTGGCATGAGAGCGCCCTCCCAGAGACCTACAGCTGCACCAGCCCCAGCACGGAGCCTGGAAAACAGCACGGGCGGGAAGCAAGGCAGGAGCGCAGTATGTACTTGAGCCCCATATGGAAGCCATTTAAAATGCTCTCAGATGTATAGAACAGACTTGTGGACTCTGGGAGAAGGCGAGGGTGGGATGTTTCAAGAGAACAGCATTGAAACATGTATATTATCTAGGGTGAAACAGATCACCAGCCCAGGTTGGGTGCATGAGACAAGTGCTCGGGCCTGGTGCACTGGGAAGACCCAGAGGGATCGGGTGGAGAGGGAGGTGGGAGGGGGGACCGGGATGGGGAATACATGTAAATCCATGGCTAATTCATTTCAATGTATGACAAAAACTACTGTAATGATGTAAAGTAACTAGCCTCCAACTAATAAAAATAAATGGAAAAAAAAATAAATAAATAAAATGCTCTGGTGTTTGCCTCACCATCCTGAGAACAGAAACTTTTCTCTGAAAACTACTGAGCAGGGGAGTGGTCTCCCCAAGCTTTGGCCACGTAAATGTGATGAAAAAACAAACAAATGTTAAGAGTCAAAGAGTGGCCAACAGCGTCTGGGTACTCAACTGCGCATGCAAATGTTACATTTAAATAACAATCTGGAGACCTCTTGGCTGAGGCCTGGGGACTTGGGAGAGGGGAGGCGGACACTAAATCAGGGAAGCCCCTTGTCTTTGGCTCTTGAAGGATCACCCACTGGAGGACGGGAAAGAGAGGGAACGCAGTTTCAAAGACACAGCAGGTGCCTGCAATGACCCAGCTTTTTCAGTCTGGCCAGTGAGTCACTGTTGACTAACCCCATGGAGCTGGCATAAGCAGGGAACGGTTGTCATGGCCACAGTCCCAAACTGGCAGGGTTGATGCATCCCTTAAATGATCTCCTTAAAGAGGGCTCGATCACCCATCTGCATCGCTGGGGAGGAGAAGAGAGGGGAGGGGACGCCACAGGCTGTCAGTGCAGGTCGAGGAGGAGGGGGTGAATGGACATTGCTCTTGACTTACCTTGATTTTCCCCTCGCAATGGGGGTAGCCATCCATAGGAGGCAATACGCATTTTTCTTGAGCTCCATTAATGATATCTGAAAAAGAGGGAAACAACAAAAGATACCATCAAGTTTATGGCAAGTGCAGGACAGAAAGACAAACAGAAAAGAGAAGTCTATCCTGGGAGCCACACTCTGACCCCTCCAGCTGGTCTGACTGGTCTGCAGTGAGGAGTTGACCTGGCCAATCTCCAGGGTGGTCAGAGGCCTGTGATGAGTGAGGCCAAGTTTGAAAGGAAGAGTCGGGTCAACCATATTACTTAGAAACTTGCAACTGGGAAACTGAGAAAACAAGTGGGCAGGGGGCGGGGGGCAGGAAATGAAGCCGGGAGATTAGGAGGGTCCCTGGGTCAAGCCAGACTGGGCCGTGAAGACAAACTGAGGCCATGAGCAGCTTCATGAACACGTGTGCTTGTCATTTACGAAACTGAAAACAGTGGTACAAATGAACTTATTTACAAAACAGAAATAGACACATGGACATAGAAATCAAACTTACGGTTACCAAAGGGGAAAGTGGGGGGTGTAGTGGAGGAATAACTTAGGAGTTTGGGATTAACAGGTACATACTACTATATATAAAATAAATAACAAAGTCTTACTGTTTCAGCACAGGGAAATACACTCAATATTTTATAAAAATGTGTAAGGGGAAGGAATATGAAAAAAATATATATATATAAAACAGAAACCATTTTCCTGTATATCTGAAACCAACACAACACTGTAAATCAACTATATTTCAATAAAACAAAACACACAAGTGCCTGAGCTGAGGCAGCCCAGGAGAGAGAGAGGCGAAGGTGTGCAGAGGAGCAGAAAGCCACAAGATGCTTATGCGAGGTACGACTTTGTATAGAGCTGGTTCTTATATTTCCACCAAGATCTCCTTATTCTTCCAATCTTTCCTCCCAATAAACTCCCTTTCTATCAGCAAGGTCAAGTGGACTCCTATTTCTTGTAACTACAGAATCAAAACTAAAAAGAATGCCCTTCAGAGGATTATGGTTAAGTGATGAACAACAGACAAACTGATCAAAAACTGAACAGTTGCTTAAAAGGCTTTATATTGGGGCGGGGCCAGGGAAGGATGCCCAGACCAGTCTCTAAGCATCAGAGAAGACTTCCTGGATCCAGAGGCTTCTCAGCTGAGATATGAAGGTGCAGAAGTGACCCAGGTAGAGGGAAATGGTAAAGATGGTGTTCAGTGAAACATCCACATGTAGGACCTGATCTGATGAGAGTGAATGAGGGTGAGGCACTGAGATGCGAAGAGCTGACTCACTAGGAAAGACCCTGATGCTGGGAAAGACTGAAGGCAAAAGGAGAAGAGGACGACAGAGGATGAGATGGTTAGACAGCATCACCTACTCCATGGACATGAAATCTGAGCAAACTCCAGGAGACAGTGAAGACAGGGGAGCCCTGTGTGCTGCAGTTCACGGGGTCGCAGAGTTGGATACAACTTAGCAACTGAACAACAACTCAGAGTCAGACAGGACCCAAACCAGAAAGGCCACAAAGACTCCAGCTTCTGTGCTAAGGGCATGGCTTGTGGAGTGCTGAAAACTTTTAAGGAGAAGATAGTTATGATCAGGTTTTCACTTAGAAATGATCATTTCAGTTGGAAACTAGGACAATCCTAAACCTACATGCTTCTCTTCTGGGACCAACTATATTTTACAGACATGCTTGCAAAACTGTCCCCGTTTCTCACCGCTGACCATTTTCAATACAAAGTACTAATCAGAAATTAGATCCCAAACTACAAGGTCATTTGACAGTGGTATTTAAACACTGTCGACGGCTGCTAGGGCTAAAACAGCAGTCAGTGCAAAGAGGAATTTTAGCTGTACCTGTTCCTTGAAATTCAATTCATCTGAGAGTCTAAAACAGAAATCCCAGACCTCTTGATTGAGCCTTTTCAATGAGCGTTCTGCCTGCTAAGGATAAGTAGAGCGTAAAATCAGTACCTTCCTTATCATAGGTTGGAGGCTGTCAGTTGGTAACATGAAAAACACTTAGCTTGTTGGAGTCTTTGTTTTCCCATCTGTAAAATCAGAATCACTGCAGTTCTATTTCATCCAGGTCTTATTAAATAAGTTAATATTTGTAAAAAGCCTGGTTGGCACTCCTATCGGCTTGTATCAGAGACCACAGCAGGTGCTTAAGAGTCGGCATTTGCTGTATAATTCCACACAACTTTCAACTGCTATATCCAGGAAAGCAACATTGCAAATGCACAGCTGCTTCTGGAAATGAATTCTCTTCATTTTTAAAATAACTGCAGGCTTGAATGGTGGATCTCCCTAAAGTTCCCCTTCTGTCTCACTCGCACACCGACAGCCAGCTCCAGTATCCTCAGACAGATGGGCTGCCTTACCAAAGAAGAAAGATGCTTTCCAATGACTACTGCTCCAATGACTAATTCCAATTTCGCTCACACTCAGCAAGCAAATAAGAGGCAGCACAGGTTCTGAGAAACGAAGCAGAGTCTAGAATTGCTGAAGTTCGGGGGTAAGTGAACATTTAAAGGGCTCCGTAGGGATCAGTAGGCTTCCCAGGTGGTGCTGGTGGTGAGGAACCCCCTGCCAATGCACGAGACATAAGAAACTTGGCTTCAATCCCTGGGTAGGGAAGATCCCCTGGAGAAGGGCATGGCAACCCACTCCAGTATTTTTGCCTGGAGAATCCCATGGATAGAGGAGCCTGGTGGGCTGCAGTCCATAGAGTTGCAAAGAGTCGGACATGACTAGAGCGACTTATCATGCATGCATGCATTAGGGGTCAGTAGCTCTCTTTTGTTACACACAATAGGTATTATTCTAGTTCTGGATGTTTGCAGCCAGAAGTTATTGCAACTAAATGAGCTGGAGGTATGCTAGTGTGGGGCAAAGAGAAACCACCAGATGATAAAATTAACCAGCAGGTCCATGAAAGGTGCAGGCAAAGCCTGGTTGCTGGCAGTGTGGGTCCACTTCATCTAAGAGTTTCAAGGAATAAAACTATGTTATGCCAATGTTTTCTGCAAAGGGCTAGACAATAAATATCTAAGGCTGGGTAGGCCACATGGTTGCTGGGATGTAGCAGTCACAGCAGGGGAAATGGAATGATGTGTGTGGCTGTGTTTCTATAAAACTTTATTTACAAAAACAGGTGCAGACCCTGGTGTTTGCTATGCTGAGAGAGCCCCCAAAAGAGGATCCTTGCTTCTTCAAAGACCTGCTGAACTGACATCTTAAAGGACATCTGCATGTACTCTCCTGCCAGATGTGCCCTTCCTCCAACCACTTAAAGCCCTTCCTCCTTTAAAACCAAGTTGGAGCATCCATCCCCGCTTGAAGAAAGCCTGGATCCTTCCTCCCTATCTCTATGTTCAATCAAGACTGAGTGAGGATTGAGTGCTGCCCCTTCAGCTCCTGGCCCTCCCACGGCAGTGAGCAATCCTGTTCTCTTTTCTGCATCTGTCCACCCCCTTTGCTAGGACATGAGACCACTGTGGGAAGGTTATGTCTTCCTGCTCCATCACCAGGCACTCAGCGAGTGCTGCTGGACTGGATGAATACTCACGTGTTCTGCCTGACCCGCCCCCGCTCCCCACCCCTGACACTTTGGATCAAGGAGAAGGAGACTGAGCTGAGAACGCAGTGTTTTTCACTCCTCTACCAAGCGGCAGTATGTCAGCTGATCCAACAGGGCTCCTCTGCATTTCCGTGATCTTAGGAGGGCTTTTTTCGCTATTTGTTACACAGCGATGGGTCTGAATAGATGGCAGCTTCCAAAAGTGCAGTTCAATGGCTGAAGGCTCTGAGGTAGGCGGGATCTGAGAAAGGGACACACAGGAAGTGCCAGCCTTTCTTCTGAGCATGGGGTTGAAGTGGTCCCAGAATCCGACCATCTGTAAGTAACCTGAACAAGACCCTCCACTACCCCCCAGGCCCTGAGGAGTCTCAGTACAGCTCACAGGGCAGCTCCCCATCTTGCTTCCATCACGAGGACAAAAACCCAACGAATCATGTTTCTATTAGATTTTTCTAATANCCTCCCCCACATGTCAAATTATTTTTTTAATGGTGAAAGGGCAAGGTGCTAATATAAGATAAAATGCAAATGTAAAATAAGACACTAATGCAAGCAAAGAAATTCAGCTTTTACTATTGTTCAGGATTCAGTTTCATTTCTCACCCTCATACCAGCCCAAGTAGAGCCCTGCACTGGAAACATCACCTCTGAACTGATTCTACAGTACTGTCAACCCAGTATTAGAAAAAAGGCAGGACATCTAGGTGTAAAAACTCTGTTTTTTTATCAGTGTGGTAAGAAGTCAAATATTAGGTTGAATCTAAGAGAACAGTTTTCTTATTATCAAAAATGTTTACAACTCAAGAAGAGCACGTGTACCACAGGAGAAGTGACAGAAGATGCCATAAACACATCCAGAGCAAGGTGTTCCTGCCAAGCCTGGAGCCAGATTCTCCCCGACAGCCCTAACAGGTGTATACAGATTGACAGAGACACAACAGGATTTCAGCTATACATTTGGAAGTGACGGAGACCCAGAGATATGGAACCAGGCAGAGAGATGTTTTTAACTCATGCTTTCCTCTACCCGAGGAAGGAAGGAAAGTGGGAGAGAATGGGGTGGAAGTAAATGGTGAAGACGATCTCAGGGGGCTGGTGATGACAGCAAAAGGGTGGTTCAGGAAATGAAGGTGGATGATTGTGACCTCTCAAGATATAGGACCAGCCTTTGGAAAGTGCTGGCACACACATTATCACACTTTACACTCACCACATCCTCTGAACAAGGAAGACAGTGACCTCATCTCATGGTTTGGAAAGAAGCTTCAAAATCCTCAGCATCTATCTCCAAACTCAGCCCATGGTTGCTTGGAATTTTTCCCCAAAGCCTGTGGCTTGCCGTGTGCTGAGACATCAAAGCCGCATCCTTGAAAGATACGGTATGTATCCTCGAGGAGCCCAGAGCTTGGGGAGGGACCACACAGAGCAGAGCGAAGCACACATCAGCGGGACCC